TCGCCAAGTTCCTCGGCCTCCACCTCTGCTAGCGTGTCAGCCAGTGTGTCGACCAGTGCTTCGGTTTCGACATCGCCCAGTGTGTCCCCAAGTGTCTCGGCCTCCACCTCTGCCAGCGTGTCAGCCAGTGTGTCCACAAGCGTTTCCGCCTCCACATCGCTCAGTGTTTCGCCAAGTTTCTCGGCCTCCACCTCTGCTAGCGTGTCAGCCAGTTTGTCGACCAGTGCTTCGGTCTCGACATCGCCCAGTGTGTCGCCAAGTGTCTTGGCCTCCATCTCTGCCAGTGTTTCAGCCAGTGTGTCGACCAGCGTTTCAGTCTCCACATTGCCCAGTGTTTCGCCAAGTTTCTCGGCCTCCAACTCTGCTAGCGTGTCAGCCAGTGTGTTGACAAGTTCTTCGGTTTTGACATCGCCCAGTGTTTCGCCAAGTTTCTCGGCCTCCACCTCTGCTAGCGTGTCAGCCAGTGTGTCGACCAGTGTTTCGGTCTCGACATCGCCCACTGTCTCGGCCTCGACCTCTGCCACCGTATCAGCCAGTGTGTCGACCAGAGTTTCAGCCTCCACATCACCCAGGGTTTCGCCAAGTTTCTCGGCCTCCACCTCTGCTACCGTGTCGGCCAGTGTGTCGACCAGTGCTTCGGTCTCGTCGTCGCCCAGTCTTTCGCCAAGTTTCTCGGCTTCCACCTCTGCCAGCCTTTCAGCCGGTGTGTCGACCAGCGTTTCAGTCTCCACATCGCCCAGTGTTTCGCCAAGTTTCTCGGCCTCCACCTCTGCTAGCGTGTCAGCCACTGTGTCGACCAGTGCTTCGGTCTTGACAACGCCCAATGTGTCGCCAAGTTTCTCGGCCTCTACCTCTGCCAGCGTGTCAGCCAGTGTGTCGACCAGCGCTTCAGTCTCCACTTCGCCCAGTGTGTCGCCAAGTGTCTCGGCCTCCACCTCTGCCAGCGATTCAGCCAGTGTGTCGACCAGCGTTTCAGTCTCCACATCGCCCAGTGTTTCGCCAAGTTTCTCGGCCTCCACCTATGCTAGTGTGCCATCCAGTGTGTCGACCAGTGCTTCGGTCTCGACTTCGCCTAGTGTGTCGCCAAATGTCTCGGCCTCCACCTCTGCCACCGTATCAGCCAGTGTGTCGACCAGCGCTTCAGTCTCGACATCGCCCAGTGTCTCGCCAAGTGTCTCGGCCTCGACTTCTGCCACCGTATCAGCCAGTGTCTCGACCAGAGTTTCAGTCTCCACATCGCCCAGTGTTTCGCCAAGTTTCTCGGCCTCCACCTCTCCTACCGTGTCGGCCAGTGTTTCGTCCAGTGCTTCGGTCTCGCCATCGCCCAGTCTTTCGCCAAGTTTCTCGGCTTCCACCTCTGCCAGCCTTTCAGCCGGTGTGTCGACCAGCGTTTCAGTCCCCACATCGCCCAGTGTTTCGCCAAGTTTCACGGCCTCCACCTCTGCTAGCGTTTCAGCCAGTGTGTCGACCAGTGCTTCGGTCTCGACATCGACCAGTGAGTCAGCCAGTGGTTCGACCAGTGCTTCGGTCTCGACACCGCCCAGTGGTTCGCCAAGTGTCTCGGCCTCCACCTCTGCCAGCGTTTCATCCAGTGTGTCGAGGAGCGTTCCAGCCTCCACGTCACCTAGTGTTTCGCCAAGTTTCTCGGCCTCCGCCCCTCCTAACGTGTCAGCCAGTGTGTCGACCAGTGCTTCGGTCTCGACATCGCCCAGTGTATCACCAAGTGTCTCGGCCTCCATCTCTGCCAGCGTTTTAGCCAGTGTGTCGACCAGCGTTTCAGTTTCCACATCCCCCAGTGTTTTGCCAAGTTTCTCGGCCTCCACCTTTGCTAGCGTGTCAGCCAGTGGTTCGACCAGCGCTTCGGTCTCAACTTCGCCCAGTGCGTCGCCAAGTGTTTCGGCCTCCACCTCTGCCAGCGTTTCAGCCAGTGTGTCGACCGGCGTTTCAGTCTCCACAACGCCCAGTGTTTCGCCAAGTTTCTCGGCCTCCACCTCTGCTAGCGTGTCAGCCAGTGTGTCGACCAGTGCTTCGGTGTCGACATCGCCCAGTGTGTCACCAAGTGTCTCGGCCTCCATCTCTGCCAGCGTTTCAGCCAGTGTGTCGACCAGCGTTTCAGTCTCCACATCGCCCAGTGTTTCGCCAAGTTTCTCGGCCTCCACCTCTGCTAACGTGTCAGCCAGTGTGTCGACCAGTGCTTCGGTGTCGACATCGCCCAGTGTGTCACCAAGTGTCTCGGCCTCCATCTCTGCCAGCGGTTTAGCCAGTGTGTCGACCAGCGTTTCAGTTTCCACATCCAGTGTTTTGCCAAGTTTCTCGGCCTCCACCTCTGCTAGTGTGTCAGCCAGTGGTTCGACCAGTGCTTCGGTCTCGACACCGCCCAGTGTGTCGCCAAGTGTCTCGGCCTCCACCTCTGCCAGCGTTTCAGCCAGTGTGTCGAGGAGCGTTTCAGTCTCCACATCACCCAGTGTTTCGCCAAGTTTCTCGGCCTCCACCACTCCTAT